AAAACACAATATATCTGTAGCTTTTTAAAATCGCTGATTTTAAATCTGAAAATTTTCACATTTAATATATAACATTTAATCGAACAAATTCATTTTAAAAAATTATTCTTTACATCAAATTTATGTTATACAAGTTTTAAATTCATGTATAATATTAAAATTTTGAAATTTAAGATATTATTTTTAATTTCTATATTACATTTAAATTAAGTATAACAATCATTTTTTAATTCAGTTATATTTTACTTTAGAATCAATTATACATATAACAATAAGGATATTGAACTAACGCCAGATGTATTTGCTAACAATCTTCGGGTGAACTTCCGAAAAGCTTATCACCTCCGATTTGGCTGATATTCAGCTTAAATACTTATTTTATCTAGTAAATAATATTTCCAAATGGATTTTTGGCGCAAATGTCCCCTCCGTCCCCTAGCCCCCCTCAAAGGTAAAACTGTTTTTGTTAATTATTTCAGAAAGTGTTTATTGTACGGAAAAAGTTGTCAAACAAAAAATGAAGCTCATAAAAAATTCTACAAATAAGGTTTTATACATATTTTACCTAATTCCAATATTTTAGTCGTTTTGACAATTAACAGTCGCCATATTGGATCCGTCATTTTAAATTTTGCAATTTTGACATCAGATTCGAATTCAGCAGCCCAAAAAACCTTAGGATATCAAGTTTTATGCAAATCTGTTGACAATTATTGGAGTTATTTAAAAATGTACATATATGATACATTACCACGTTTGGCACTTTTTTTTGTACAGGGTGCTTCCGCAACATACAGATCAGTAAGTCGGGTTGCCTATTTGTTTATCGGCAGGGGCATGCTTTACCGGCCGTGCAGAATAAGGTTAGATCGCAAGTCCGGCGGAAAATAGGCAAAAGAATTTGAGTTTTACCATTCTGATATAGTGTAAGATTTAATAATATATATGCAATAGGAGTTGTTTAATAATAGAAATATTAATAACAACATAATAATAAAATTAGTAAACATTAAACGATTATTAAACAAATAACACAATTTACAAAATAAAGATAAATAATATTTTTTATTTAAACATGCTTATAACAAATGTTCTATTAAATTACCAGCTTCTTCTAAGCATAACGTGATTCTGCGTATGAAATTTTCTCTCACTCTGTTTAATGTAGCAAGAGTTTTCTGCACATGTCGTTTCGTATTCTATTTTGCAAATCTTCTTAATTTGCTAGCAGTTTCATATATTTTATTTTTTAAAAAGCTCCACACGAAAAAATCCATGGGCGTAAGATCCGGAGACCATAATGGCCACACTGAGGACTATGAAGTCCGATCCATCTTCCCGGAAATTTTTTATTTAAAATTGTTCTCGCTACAAAAGACGTGTGAGCGGGATGTCCATCCTGTTGGAAAACCATTTCTAGTTTATTAGCTAGTGGCACATCTTCCAAAAGCTCGTCGAGTCAATGGAGAAGAAATTGCGAATAATATTGTGCATCCACATTTCCTTCGATAAATTCAGGGCCGATGACATGATCTCCTACGATTCCGAGCCACACATTTACAGTCCACCTACTTTGAAAATTGTGTTTTTTTGCACAATGTGGAATCATGTGTGTTAATTCTTCAAACGAACAAAACTGTTACAATTGTTTGTTCGATTGTTTTTCTTTCTGTATTCCTTATGTCCTGATCGCATTCCGTTTGACAGAATTTGACGTGAATTATACAGGTTAAAACGCGTTAAAAATTGAGTTAACATAATGGAACCGGAACGAAATCACTATTCGTTTGACGAATTAACGGACATAATTCTTATTTACGGCGAGTGTCAAATGAATCAAAGACAAGCAGCTGCACTTTTCGCTCGAAAGTTTCCGGACAGACGCCACCCAAACCACAGTTTTTTTCATTGCCTTAAAGAAAGATTAAGAACAAATGGACAATTTCGTAAATCTCGCAAGCCGCTCCATGTTCCACAAAGAAATCAGGAGATAATTGATGCAGTTCAACAAGCTGTTGTCAGAAATCCTCACACAAGCACGAGAGCTATTGCTGCGGATCTAAACATGAACCACATTACGGTTCATAAAATAATTAAACATTCGCTGGGTTTGCATCCATTCAAAAAACATACAACACACAAACTTGTACCTGCTGATATGCCACGACGTTTAAATTTCTGTGAATGGATTATTGATCACGCTAGTTTGTTTAAATTTTTATTCTTTTATTATTTTATAATATACCGGACACATTGATACCATTTATCAACTTACATCGTCAACTTTATACTAAATTATTCAATTTCTGCAAGTGGATTTTAATGATGTCAAAAATGATATCTTTTTAAAAAAACATTTTGTGGACCGATGAAGCAATTTTCGGAAGTCATGGGCAGATAAATCGTCATAATGAGCATCATTATGCAGAGCAGAATCCACATTGTGTAAAGGAACACAATTTTCAAGGCAGGTGGACAGTAAATGTGCTCGGAATCGTAGGAGATCACGTCATCGGCCCTGAATTTATAGAAGGAAATGTGAATGCACATTATTATTCACAATTTCTTCTCCACCGACTCGACGAGCTTTTGGAAGATGTGCCACTAGCTAATAGACTAGAAATGGTTTTCCAACAGGATGGACATCCCGCTCACACGTTTCTTGTAGCGAGAACAATTCTAAATAGAAAATTTCCGCGGAGATAGATCGGGCTTCATGGTCCTCAGGAGTGGCCACCACGGTCTCCAGATCTTACGCCCATGGACTTTTTGTGAGGGGATATTTAAAAATAAAATCTAACTGAAACTTTGCCAGCAAATCAAGAAGATTTGCAAAATAAAATACGAAACGCATGCACAGAAATCACTCCTGCCATATTAAATAGAGTGAGAGAAAATTTCATGCGCAGAATTATGTTATGTTTAGAAGAAGATGGTAATTTAATAGAACATTTATTATAAGCATTTAAATAAAAAATTATTTAATTTATTAATCTTTAATTGTTAATTATTAACAACCCTATTATTAATAACTTTTATTATTTATTTATTTATTAAAAAATATTATTTATATTTATTTTGTAAATTGTGTTATTTGTTTAATAATCGTTTAAATGTTTACTAATTTTATTATTATGTCGTTATTAATATTTCTATTATTATAAACAACTCTTATTATATATATATATTTTATTATATTATATATAATTAATAAATTATTATATATAATTGTATATATATTTTATTATATATATATTATTGAATCTTACACCAGTATCCTATACCAGAATGGTATCCTGGATGGTATCTGGAATCCTATACCAGAATGGTATAACTCAAATTTCTTTTGCCTTATTTTTCGCCGGACTTGCGATCTAACCTTATTCTGTACGGCCGGTAAAGCATGTCCCTGCCGATAAATAAATAGGCAACCCTACTTACTGATCTGTATGTTGCGGAAACACCCTGTACATATATGATACATTACCACACAACTGGTTAAATTTAAAATAAAGCTAATAAATTGCAATGTTTAATAATGAAGGAATTATATTACACCTTTTTTGATTTAGATAAATCCGAATATCAAAAATTTTACGGTAATAGTGGTAATAACGCGTCGTATCTTGAGTACAATGTGACAAATGTATTAGTATCGCAAGCAGCATCAGTCATTGCGAATATTTCAACCATCTCATTAAAGGCAAATAAAATAATAAAACTTCGGAATGAGGCGACGGTAATTTGCAAGAATTTTGCCAATTTCTCCAATTGTACAAATCGCACTTGTTTGTTCAATGTCTACAAAGATCCTTGTGAAATTACGGATCTGTCTTTCAAATATCCTGAGGTAAGGATTACATTATAATTAGGATTATATATATAGAATGTATCATAATACCAATGTGGAACACCCACTTCAGTGGCAGATAGGAAACACAAAAATAATGAAAAAAGTTCATATAAACATGTGTCGAAAATGTTTTATTAAAAAGTTATAAGCGTTCAAATATTCATAAAAAGAATTGTTCGGTAATTATTCAGATTAGGTTACACTTCACCAATTCTTCTGTCGCTGAGATATGTTGTAGGGGAGGTTTTTCTGAGTAAATCCCCACAAGAATAATGCGATGGCACTACCCAGTAAACATTCGATATCCTATGTATATACATGAAATATCCATAATGTGAAAAAAATGTACTGTATATACTATGTACATACATATGATATACGCTGATGTAGATATCAAACGTATATATATACGCTGAGGTAGATACATTTATGGACATGCATAGGTTATCGCATGGATATACATACAATGTATATTCGAATGAGATTGCTGCCTGTATATACATAGAATATATCTCGTGTATATTCCATGTATATACATGTAACGTACATACATACGATATACGCTGATATAGGTACATTTATGGATATACATAAGATATCGTATGGATATACATAGAATCAATCATTAGTTCGTTCGCTTGCCGCTATGTGACGCATTATGCGCTATCTATCTCGTATTTAAGTTTTAATCATGAAAATTATATAAAACTTGCAAAAGGCGGGTAATAATATTGAAGATGTAATAACTTTTTCTATCAGTTTAATATCTGAATCCCAACACAGGGAATTTAGATAAACTGATTGTTCAAAAATTGGGTAGATAAATATCCGAATGAATGAAAATTGTTTATTACCCAGTAAACATTCGATATCCTATGTATATACATGGAATATCCAAAATGTGAAAAAAACATACTGTATACATATATGTACTATGTACATACATAGAATGTACCTCATGTACATGCCATGAATGTGTATTGCACATCCTCGGAATATATCCTATGTACATACTGCGGATGTACACTGCACATCCTCGGAATATACCCCATGTATATACCACGAATGTACACTGCATATCTTTGGAATATATCTATGTATGTACTATGGACATCTTATGTACATACATGTGGTAATTATTTCACATACATAGGATATGCGCTTTATATACTTTTCACATTCTCTGTATATACATAGAATATACAATATACATATATGTATATACATAGGACGTACATAGAATGTCCTAATGTTTATTGGGAGTTGTAGAGATATAACAAATTAAATTTACGCATCTTCTGTAAAGATACCTAATTACCAGAAGAAAATTTAATTTGTTATATGGCGCATATACAGGGTGCGCCAAAACTTTGGATACAGTTGAATATCTCGTAAACAGTGCAATTTTGAAAGAAAAGTTTTAGACAAAAGTTGTAAGATTTAAAAAGACGCATTGAACGATAATATCCATTTGATCTTGGGTAGCGTTGCCAAAGTCAGGTTAAAGGTGTAAATCCGATTGTACAACCTCCGCGAGGTACATCTTGGATAACGCTAATGTCGGTGGTATTGGAAATTTGTCAACCAAAACTCGAAAAATACGAAATTGAGACTTATTATATTATAATGTGAAAACGCCTGAACGTCAGCTACAATAATGTGCAATAAAAAATAGGGGTTCTATTTAAAAAAATCAAGTTGACCTTGACCTGACAACGTCACCCAAGGTCAAATGGATATTATCGCTCAATGCGTCTTTTTAAACCTTACAACTTTTGTCTGAAACTTTTTTTTTAAAATTGCATTGTTTACGAGATATTCGACTGTATCCAGACTTTTGGTGCACCCTGTATATTGTACAATACAATGCGTGCCGATGTGTGAAATGAGCTATTGCATTTTGCACAGACAAGATGGAAATGATAGCAAAAGTGTTTTAAGAAGATTATATTGACAGGTTGTGGAAAGATTAAGCGGGTTTATCAACGCTTATAAATCGGTCCTCATGAAGCAGACGAACGTACCCGTCGATCCGGCTGGCTTTCCACGCAACTTTAACGACACTTGGATGCCCTGGTTGTCGGACGATCAGACGATCAGATCAGATGAGATGCATTTTGTGACAAACGAAATTTCACAGTAACGACGCTTCGCTTCGTCTTGAATGACCAAGTGGTAAAATTTTGATTGTCTTGAAAATGTAGCAAGTCAAAAAGAGAACATATATAACAGAAATATATTCATGTTGTATAAGTGGAATAATTCCTGTATAATTGTATCTTATGCGTACTTATAGTATATATAATTTACCTGTTTACCTTTGTTATAATACTTACAAAGATTAAAATAAAGAAAATAAAATTAAATAAATAATTTTTATAAATTTAATCATTGGCGGTTTAAATATTGTTAATAAAACTTAATTTAAATAAAACTTAAATAAAATGACAATATATGTGAAATTATAGTTATTTTGTTTTATATAGAGTGATTCAAGATAACTGTGTGTAAAACATTAAAGGTAAGTTTCTTGTTAAAGTTGAAGAGAAAAATAATTACACTGGATTACTTAAGTATACTAGAAAACAATTATAATCTATTGTAATTGTCATTAAAAATAGCTTGGATTGCCAAGCATGGAATAAAGATTTTGTTAAGATGAAGATAAAGAAAGATTAATATTTTGTTATGTATTTTGATGTTTAAGTGATTAAAGCTTTTAATTTAAACGAAACTTTTTGCTTTTATTTTCAACTGTTTAATATTCTCGTAATATTCTCGTGTCATTAGTATTAATGTTTCGGATCTAAATAAGAAAAATGTGTTGGAAATAAATAAGGAAATGATAATAATAAGGAAATAATAAAGAAATGAAATGTGTTCTTAACATAATTTCACATGCTAGTTACGAATCACCCTGTATATCTTTATTAGCAGAGTAGCGGATGTTGACCGTAGGAAGGGTGGCAAAAAGTTTATCGTGAGAGGGACAAAACTCTTCTTTTCACTGACGTTATTGTATAGAGATTATGCAGATGGGGAACGCTGCCATCGCACGAAGTGAAGGTTGATATCTATTTAATTACCGGTATCGTATTAATTAATCGTATCCCATGCAAATAAACAGTTTTGAACTTTCGCGACGTCCATCTTGTCGGTAAATGTGGATCTACGAAATGAAGCTACGAACCTTCGATTAGTTCGTCCTACGTATTTATTCGTCCTTTTATGTATTTATATATGTATTATATATGTATTTATGTATTTATATATGTATATTAATAATTTATGTCAAAATTATTCTTGTATTTTGTTTGTAAATAATTAATTTTTTTAACGTCACAGTAACTGGATAGTACTTATATCATATATTGCTGTAAAAGAATTGAACTTTAAAAAAGGTTCCAAAATATTGTATAACACGCATACATGTAATATAAGAGAAATAAATTTATTTTTCTATAAAATTTTTGTTATTTGTATCATCAGAAATAAAAAGCACATTCTTTAATTAATATCACAGAATTGCAGAAAAATGTGTGCATAGAAAATAGAAACAACAATCCGCATGCATTCCTCCACTTACATATGGTATTATCTATTTTTTATTTTGCGTTTAAAGTACGATTATTTTTCTTAAATAACCTTTCATGAACATTTTTCACAGATAAATTTTAATCCAGGACCAGCGGCGAGATCTTTCCATTCTCTCTTCGATACTTCTTTCATATTCCCAAAACTCGACTTTACGCTTATTTAGTAATTTGTTTATTTGCAGGTAAAAAGTCGCAGACGCGTATACGCGTACGCGTAGCTTTACGCTTTGTTTATGCGCCATCACGAGTAGGGGGATAGCTTGATGACGAAGAAGAGTAAGAGAAACAAGAAGAAGCAAAAGGGAGCGCATGAGAAATAAAGAGAGGTAGTGAAAGTAGGGTGGAAGCGCAAAGGGGAGATACCTTAGCGTTCTACGATCGTGAGAAGGGTTTGGAGTTTAAGTCGCTTTTAATAGCGAAGCAGCTGTTGCCGGATCTGCTTGTCCCTTTTTTATGGTCAATGTCTTCTTTGGCGAATAATGCCGGGAAATAATCTGAAATGAAAGAGTTATGCTCTCACTCTTTCTTTCTTCGTTCGGTTAACATTTCCGCTAATAAAGCTGCGCCTCTAATTCGTTTATTCTTGAACGTCACATTGCGATCTTTCGTTTTTATTAACTCATTATCCATGCATGTTCCCCCTCTTTTATATTAAGATTTTGTTTAAAAAAACTTATATAAAATTAAAAAATAAAATTTTTAACAAAAAACCATTATATATCTGTTTCTATTTTCTTTAGTTTTAAAAATCTAAAACATTACAAAATTTAGAAAAATTTTAATATGTCTTATTGATATCTATCTTCTATTTAATTTATCTATCTATCTTCCACAAACTTACAACATTTTTTTCGAAAACAAAAAATTCGTAGCAAATAAAAAATGTCAAAATAAAATCAAGAAACATGAAAAAGAAGAAATATTATTCAAAATTATAAAAAGAAATTAGACAAATGCATTAATATGGATAAATAATAAGACAAAATTATAACACACCCCTAACACTGTTTCACATGGATTTCTTACAGGTCTGACGTTCATGTTGCATTCAATCGTCCACGATACTTAAATTAGTAAGGTTTAATGTATCATTCATTTCGCAACACCAAGTGATATAAACAAAGATATTCCTACTTTTGTTTCGTGTAGCTATTGCGCGTATGTGTACTCGAGAATTGCCTGCAGCAAAAAATCTGCTGTTTCTCAGAATTGCAATATTAATGATAATTGCTCAGTGTATTTGCGCATTACACGTGTTCCAGGTTTGCGAAAGCGCGCTCTATACCTGTCATTTAATTCTTTCAATTATTTCTATTGAACAGACGAGAAGTGTTGTATATTAGAAGTGTTGTATATGAGTGGCGTATATTATTCGATTTTATAGTTAGAACAATTCGAATACACACATTATCAATATTATAATAAAATGTTAGAATTAATTCTTTTTGTTCATTTGTATTTTATTTTGTATTCTTTTTGTAAATAAATTGATTTTTGCGCATTATCAAACTACGCGTTTGGTTCTTATTGCTTTTTTTCCCGTAATATTTTGCTAAAATTAATAGTTTAATTATAAATTACTAAAAAAAGAAAATGTTTTTTGGGCCTTCTTAATAAACCAATTATCAAATCAAATAAAAAAGCTATGTTAGCCCAGAGCAGGTTGATGGATGCTCAAACATCAATTAAAACAAGTTATAAAATCAAACGTTTCGGCACATTTATTATGGCCATCTTCAGTGAAATTATAATAATGGCAAGCGCGCCTTACAAAAAGAAATAAACTAAAGATAACAACAAGCATACGCCGCAAGGTTTAACACATGTCGGTTCAAGATTTCAACCGTTTAACAAAAGTCTTCATATGATTAGGATGATTCTCGAGGTTATAAATTATAAAAATCCTTACTTGCGATGTCAGCGATATAAAGTAGTTAAATTGACGACGCATTACGGTACCGGATGGTTGGTCCAAGAACAATATGAATTAGAAGTCGGACGCATTTGAATTAGTAGTAGTACATTCAGGCTGTGTTCCGAAATTCACTGCCAGTACTGAAAATCTATAATTTACGTTACGTATATTGTAGATTTTCAGTACTGGCAGTGAATTTCGGAACGCAGCCTTAGTCGTAGCTTGTGGAACATACCGCAGCGAATACACATCTTTTTCCTCTTTTTGTGTTTTATAACGAAGAAAATATGCCAATGTGGAAATATGGAAGTAGACGAAAGAGCGGTCACCCTCAATACAACCAATTCAGTCATTTGTAAAGCAGTCAGATTATCAGTTTATCTAGTTAGAATTATTCTGATGTCGGATTAAAAAATTTCCTTAGATCTCAGACTACTAAAACCTTATTAAGTGTGTCGCCGTCGATATGTGTTAGATGAGTGGATAGCATTCATCCTCGAGAATCATCCTAATCATATGGAGACTTTTGTTAAACGGTTGAAATCTTTAACCGACATGTGTTAAACCTTGCGGCGTATGCTTGTTGTTATTTTTAGTTTATTTCTTTTTGTAAGGCGCGCTTGCCGTTATTATGATTTCACTGAAGATGGCCATAATAAATGTGCCGAAACGTTTGATTTTATAACTTGTTTTAATTGATCTTTGAGCACCCATCAACCTGCTCTGGGCTAACATAGCTTTTTTATTTGATTTGATAATTAGTTCAATTATAATTAAAAAATGTAAATCGCTTTAATTACTATTATTTATTCATATGTAATGTTTAATCATAATGCATGTTAAAATTTTATCGTAAAAAGTAATACCTATTTTATATGTTTAAATCTAATTCAGTTTGTAAATCAATTATTATTTACATTTCTATTGTTTATTCGGATTTCTCCATCAGAAGTCACATATCCTATGTTTAATAACCAATCAATATAAAACCGTTTCTCATTCTTCACATGTTCTAATGTCGATATTCTTTATTAACCAAAACATTCACAATCTTTTTCCGCGGCATGCGATATTTACCACTGCAGGCAAACTCGCTCGTCGAATTTCGTATGCGGAGCGGAGAGTGGATACAAGTCGGTGCCGAAACTTAACGATGTAATGAACGTCTGACGGAGGATTATTTATCGACGGCAACGAGGGGCGATGGAAGGGCCGAGCAAAGTACGATCAAGGCAAATGGAAAGGAAGACGAATGATCGGCACCGTGGACAAAATTGGCACGGTAATTAGCGCTGGGCAAGAGATCTACGACTTTTTCTAATTGAAGTATATAATATATAGCTCTAATTGAAGTATATCATATAAAAAACAGTAACATAATTAGTCCATATTAAAATAAGAAAAACTGTTAAATTTTTATATAACAAAGAAAGAATATTAAAAAAATAAAAATAAAATTTATTAGAAGAGAAAGAAAGTTATGAATGTCAAATATAAATATCAAGCCAATTAATTAATAATTAAACTAAAAAAGGGAGTACAAAGATTCAATATAATGATTTCCTTTATATGGAGGCATTAGAAGTTCGAACTCGATCAACGAATCGAAGCGAGAGAGCATTGATGCTTACCAGCATTTAAATAGTAAAGGCAGGAATAAATTATTTTAGCTCCGCCTTGTAGTAAAACAAATGATCACAAAGATACCGCCAGCTCATTAAAGTCTTCCGCATTAAACCTTGGACCCTGTTCATCTTTCTTTTTTAGGATATTCTTTGTTATAGTGTATAATTTTCGGTAATATCGAATGCTAGAAAAGCGTAATGCATTGCCGAAATTAATTGA